TTAAATTACTTATATTATATAAAAATATAGGGGGCGAGAAAATTCAGTTGTAAACATGTTCTTCGTTGTAAATCGAAGGTTAATGTTGTGATTTTGAATTATTTATATTATACAAAAATATAGGGGGCGAGATAATTCAGTTGTAAACATGTTCTTCGTTGTAAATCGAAGGTGAATGTTATGTTTTTCAATTATTTACATTATATAAAAAATATAAGGAGCGAGAAAATTCAGTTGTAAACATGTTTTTCGTTGTAAATAGAAGGTTAATATCGTCTTTTTGAATTATTTATTTTTTACTAATAAAAGGAAAAAAAAAAGATATTCTGTTCTCGCTTTTTCAAGGAGGAAAGAAAAGTAATGTTGATTTTCCTTCGCAAGAAAAAAAAAATTATAAATTTTTAAATATTTATAAAATTACAGATATATGTATTAATTACATTCAACAAGGGATGGCAAAAAAAATCGAAACCGACGGTGAAAACCGATAACCGAAATTTTTGGGCCGGGTTCGGGAACATTTTATCAGGGACGGGACGGGGATCGGGGACGAATTCGGGGATTTTAACGGGGAGGGGACGGGGCGGGGACGGTAATCACCGACCCGGCCCGGCCCGATATGTATATATATATATATAATATCTTTAAAAAAAGTAACATTAAAATTTTAAAAAAAAAATTATCCACTTTACCTCAACAACTCAAATAAAGCTCACGAAAAGTCTAGTTTATTTGTCAAAAACCATGATTTTAGTTGTATGATGTTCGAATTTTTGTTTAGTTTTATATTGTAATCTAATACATTGTTTGTAATGGGTTCAATTATGTTTGAGACATTTAAACTTAGATCTTTAAAAAAATTGTAATTTACTTTTAATTGTGAAAATTAACATATTGTAATTTTTTTCATATCGGTTTCGGGTTTCGGGTTCGGGTTCAGTTATAACCAACGATGAAAAAGAGAATTTTTACTCTTAACGGGTTCCCCAACGGGGATCGGGAAACCGCGGGGACCCGATAAGATCCCTGACGGGGATCGGGACGGTTACAGGGACGATTTTAGCTATCGGTTTCGGGGACGGGGATACCAATTCCTGGCCCGAACCCGGCCCGTTGCCATTCCTAATCAACTTTTATAAATCAAGTATATAAAAATGCATTTTCCTCCAAAATATTAAATAAAAAGGACTCGATACGTATCTGGTGTGAGAAAAAAAAGAATACTTAGTTTATGAGAAGTAAACTTATCGTGAAACATGTGAATATAATTTTATATTGTGTGAAAGCGTGTGGAAGTTATCATCTTCACGATAACTTTTCAATACACATTTCAGGTCTATATAATGACGAATTTTGTAGAGCAGGTGCATCGTTAAGGTGGATCAACGGCCCGCAACTGGTCCGATATGCTTTTAGTCAATTCCATCAATTTTAAGATATTTTTTTTGATTAATCTGGATATCCAACCAGCTATGCGAGCCGACTAATCCTAGAGTGACCACCTGCTTTGCAGGTAGCCCGGAGTCACCGCATTTGAACCTCCGTGGCCACAAGGGGATTTTAACCTGTGACCTCCAGGTACTTTTGACCTTTGGAGCTAAGCTCAAACCAATTAGGCACCACCCTTGTTGATTTTGAGAAATTTTTAAATTTTTTGGTTGATATTCTTTGTATTTTCTAATATCCTGGAGCACCCCCTGAAAGTTTACCGGGTATATTTTTCATACAAAAAAATCCGGATAAAAATCACATGTCCCAATTTTTTATGTCTCATAGATCTCCACCAACCATGTGAATAGAAAGAAAAATTAAACATGAATTAAATAAATTTATAATAAATGAAAGTCTGACGTGTCTTAGTTTCATTGGTGAGATAAGAATAAAACATATGATTTTAATCCAAAAAAATATGCTTACGAAAATAAGTTTAGTGGGTGCTCATGTTCCTACTGTGGGCTTATAGGTAGGGGTGCTCAAAAACTCGATCAACCCAACCCAACTCAGTTCAATGCGATGTCTATCGAGTTGTAAAATTTTCAAACCCTATGTACGATTATTTGAACTTAACTCAACCCGATGAATCCGAATATTTTATTTCTTGGATTTAATATGATTGTTGAATTTCTATTAATATATACATTAGACAATTACACTATTGCGTACGCTCTTCATATACACATATTTTCAATCTATTCACATCTCTATATAACTCATTCGTATACATGTTCAATAACTGTGAACATATATATGTAAAAAAAATGAGAAAATTAACTGGATGCGATATATGTAATAAGTATGGATGAGTTGTATCAAATGGTTGATGATGAAAAAGAAATTATGTGTAGAGAAAAAAAATAACATATTAAAGGTTAGAAGAATATTTTAATGTATCAGTATCAACCCAACAAACCCGTACTGTTAGGGGTCGTTTACTAAATGCTTATCCGATAAGTATTTATCGGGTAATTTTCCTCATCAAATGAACAAGGCAAGGGCCAAAAATTTTACCCTGTAAGAGCGATGATAAGGATGAAGAGTCTTACCCGATAAGTGAGGGTGATGACTCTTACCCGGGTAAGCGCTTACAAGGTAAATTGTTGTATATGATACGTTTTGATGTACTACAATCTTACCAAATAAAATAAATTATAGTGTTGACTCATAATATTAAGCACTTACCGGGTAAGCATTTAGGTAAACGGCCCCTTAAAAGATGTTTAAAGAAGCTTTAAGCCCGAAGCCTTGACCCAAGAGCCATTCGAGTTTGGCCCGAAAAGCACGGGCATGGTGAGTATGAAAGTGAGTTAGATGCAAAATAGTGGCGGTAGGGTACTAAATGCCTTGTCCAAACCACAAAACACTTGGTTTTGCCCCGCTTGAAAAAAACCCGATACAAAAGAACTTGAAAAGGCTCGGTCAAATATGATTAAGCTCGAAAAAGTCTCGTCTGGAAAAGCTTGATTGAACCCTTATTCAACCCAAAGTTCAAAGTGGTGCGAGCCTTTTTTCGTCCACTGAAAACGGGCTTCGAAGGCCCATGCCTAAAAAACCCTGGCACTTGTGCATCTCTAGAGATGAGTGAAACATCGTAAAGGGGCATATTTGACAACCAAGTTGTTCTAATTAAGGTTTCACTAAGTATGAAGGGTCATCATCAACTCACTAAGAGAGTTTGCATCAGCAGATAGTCAAGAGCAGATCGAACATAGGCAATCAAGGTATTTGATAACAACATAGACGAATACATAATGACAGAATTACAGGTAAAGATGCACAAGGACATGTTTTAAAAACATTCGACAACCCTGTTTTAAAAAACAGTTGTTGTAAAAGCATTGACCAAACCCAGTTGGCCAATTCGGTCATTGACCTCACAATCTGACAGAATGATTAACCCTTAACCAGTTAAAATACAATAAATAGGGACTTAAGGACCAGTCTTCAGGCCAAACTTAGTTCAGTTTTCAATTACGTACCTAATTGTGGGTGATGCTTGACCATACAAGGTTTGTGGAGGCAAGTGAGATGGGGAGAGTGGAGACAACGACATCCTCAATCAACGAAAACAATGATGAATTGATTGACTTCTCGTAATATTAATTCAGTAATAATGAATTTTCAGTATTAACCAAATATCATCAATGCAGTATAAATATACAACACTGTTCTCTCACGTTCTTATTTCCTTTTTTAACCGCACATTCATTTAATCTACACACTACTAATACACTTTTTAAAGTATATATATATATATATATATTCTCGTAACGACATCTAAAACTTATAATATGTATTTACGTATCTGAATCTTAGATTCTTTTTTGACGATATCTTAATCTTAATTAATACCATATGGAATTTATTTTATTCAAGATTTTAGTTGGTATAATGACATTTTGATGATGTTTATGTCCACTTATTATTGTGTAATGATATACACAAAACCCCCACATGTGATATGATGTTGCTATTTAACCAAAACCAATAACAAAAAATATCTGAAAAATATCGTAAAACTGAAAACTGTAACTGAAAGACTGTTTATTTAAGATAAATGTCTCTAGCGTGTAGCTCAGTCATTTGTTTTGTCAGGTAATATTATTGGACATCAGAGTAGAATGTCTGTAAGCGTCTTTTAATTGGTGAACACTAACCGGGTAAAAGTCTTTTCTTACACTTATCGGGTAAAAACTTCGGTTGTTGTCATACCTCTTACCGAGTAAGATTCTTAGGGGCCATTTACCCAAATGCTTACCCGATAAGAGCTTATTGGTAGGAGTCAACACTATAATCTATTTTACCAGATAAGATTGTAGTATATTAAAACAGTATTGTATGCAACTATTTACCCAGTAAACGTTTATCCGGGTAAGAGTCTTCACCATCACTTACCGGATAAGACTCTCTATCCCTATCACTGCTCTTACCGGGCAAGATTTTCATTGCTTTCCATGTGCATCAAGTGAGGAAAGTTACACAATCCACACTTACCGGGTAAGTATTTAGTAAACAACCTCTTAGTCTTTTAGCCATTACTCTCATTGATTTACTCAAACACCACTACCTCCTCAAGTCTCACGTCTGCCACTTGCAGACCTAGCTAAAAGACAAATTCAAACTGTAAATCCGACCGTCATAATTGCAAACCTGCCCATTACAATTGTGGATCTGGCCGTCATAATTGTACATCTAGGTCAAATATGAGATTTTTTTTTTGTCTTTTACCTGGGTCCGCAAGTAGCGGACGTGGGACCTATAGATGTGATGAATGGGTAAATCATGAAAAAAAAATGACTAACAGATCAATTTATAAAAGAGAAATGACTATTTTAACTGATTGCACTACAACAAAATTGGGTTTATAAGACACCCACAATCTCTAAGTGTCCAATAGACCATTTTATAGAACTTAATTTATAGGACGAAAATATAAAGTGTCTTATCTAAAGATGTTGTAATAAGTTTATATGACGCTTTTGAACGTCTTAACAAGTTTTTGAGGACATTTTTAATACAAAATGTCGCATTAGCAACTTTATAGGACACTTTTGAGAAAATTTTCCTATAAACTCAATTTTTTATAGGACACTTATTTTTATATGACAATTTTTCAAATAGTGTCTTATAAAGTTGATAATGGGACACTTTATATAAAAAGTGTCCTAAAAAACTTATTACAACGTCAAAAAAACGTCATATAAACTTATTGCAACACCTTTAGATATGACAATTTATTTTTTTGGTCCTATAAACTAAGTCCTATAAAGAAATCTATTATGACACTTAAAATTTAAGAGTGTCATATAAACCCGATTTTATTGTAGTGTTGTCTTTTTATTTTATTATTATTTTGCAACATTGATGGTGGAAGTACACCTTCTAATGGAGATGACCAACCAAACCCATAACCAACAACTAAAGAATCACATTTTAAAATGCACACATGGTGTGATTTACACAACAAATCTTATATATTTATATGATTTTTAACTTTTTTAATAATACAGATTTATCTGATATCTTATTTTTTTAAGACTCGAACTTATCGTTACAGAGTAAGCAGAGTAACCTTTTCTTATAACAGCGTTTCAAATTTTTCGTTTTAGTATCTGTTTTAACTTATAACCTATTGAATTTATAACATTTGATAACCAAGATACTGTTTACATAGAAACATTTTTTTTTATTAACCTGAATATCCAACCCGCTATGCGAGCCGACTAATCCCATGGCGACCACCTGCTTTGCAGATAGCCTGGAGTCACTGCATTTGAACCTCTGTGGCCACAAGGAGATTTTTATTTTTTCTTGGGTTTGAACTGAGACCTCCTATACTTTTGACTTTTGGAGTCAAACTCAAACCAATCAGGCACCACTCTTATGGTTCATAGAAACTTTTAAACGTTACAACAAAGTGAATGATAATAATGTTTACAAAATAAGTCGTAACGTGCCATAACATTGCAAGCCAAACCTAAGAGTGGAGCCATGAGGGTTAACACGGCGGTGAACCCAACCCTTGACGCCATAACGAGTTATTTAGAACCATACATGGAAATGGAATTAATCGATGTGCGTACAAGCTGGCCTGAACACGCACAGTTAAAAATAAGTATTATAATAATTATTTATATTTGTAGAAATTTATGAAAACATCCGAAAGTTAATTCATTCATACATTCGATTCGACTACTAATGTTTCATAAAAGATAATGAAACAACTACAAATTTAAACCTATTTTTTCCCAAATAAATTTCTCAATTTCCCCCTTTCCAATTTTTCTAGCAACTTTGTGCAACCGGGTATCTCCAACTCGCTGAGTTTCTTGAGATACCCGATTGCACCGTAGGAAACCATCAGTTTCCTACACCTTTTGCTCGACGAGAGCAAACTGAGGCAAGACACGGCGTATTTTTTTGCAGTGTTTTGCGGACTTGGGTCGAGCAACTGAACGAGGCTCGGGACGCTCTTCTCGTCCTTTTTTACCTCTCGACGGTTATATTGAACGGTCATTAGGCTAGCAATGGCCTGAGCCGCCACCTCTCGGGATCCGTTCGATTTTGCTTCGAGTAATTTGATTAGTAATGGGATACACCCGCTTTCGCCCACGAGTTTTTTCACTTCGACCGTGTTGCAGATACGGCATATGGATGATGTGGCGGCCTTTTGGGCGCCGATCGATCCGGATCTGAGAACGTGGACGAGTCTTGGAAGGATCCCGAGCGAGATCAGGGATTCCACCGAGACTAACCCGACGAGATTTCGTACCGCTGCGACCGCTGGTTCTTGAGGTAACGGTCCGTCAAGATACGTCAGCAGACTCCGGACTCCACCATCGGCAATCACGCATCGTTTAAGGTCGTCATTGCTCGAGGTCAGATTCCGCAGGCATTCAGCTGCGTATTCTTTCGATCCCAACAGGATCCCGCTATCGAGCACACTGATCATGATCTTTACAATGCCTTCTTCGGCTAGGGTTTGGCGGATCTCTGGGATAATGGATAGATTTTTCAAAGTACAGGTGGCGGAAGCTTGAGAAACGGAATCACCTGTCTCACAAATATCGATTAGCGGCGGGACACCGCCGTGGCCCACTATCGACCGTGCCGTTTCTTCCGACATAGACAATCTCTGAAGGGCGATCGCGGATTTTTCTCGACCGATTGAGCTTCCGGACTCGAGCAACCGGATTAGTGGCGGAAGAACACCTTCAGAAACGAGCCAACTCTCGCAACCACCGGATTCTGCCAACAAACAGATCAAAGTAACGGTTTTTTCTCGGATTCTTGGAGACGTTGCAGTGAGGAGTTGTACCAAAGCCCCAATATTGCTACGACCGACGATGGACAAAACAGTCTTTTCGTCTTCTTTCATCACATCAACAAGGCTATCAAGAGCTTTATGTTTAGCTTCCAGATGACCAATTTGCAGCCTAGCAAGCAATTCCCGAATATCGCTGCTTCGATGAGTTGTACCTTCAAGATCCGACGACATCGTAACTTCACCAAGAACCCCGGTTTTGATCAAAAGCCCACAATCTCGAAGGTTCAAATCGAGTTTCCCCGATAACGAATCGAGATCGCTTTGCATACGAAGCTTCCCATCATACTTCCCCGTCGAACAAATCTCCGCCAACTCGATCAATTCATTCAAAGTCTTGGAAATCGCTTCTAATTGCTCGTTACATAACATGTTCTTCGAGAAGCACGGATGGCTCGATAAATCCGATAAACGAGACGGGATTTGCTCTAATCGAGATACGATCATCTTCCATCTTCCAGGAAACTCCTTAACCTCTCGGGCTTTCTCCAACGCCACCGGAACAAGATCTTTAGCATACGAAAGCCATTCGTCAGCCGATCGAACGTCAGCCATTGACTTATTACCGTAGTCCCCAATCTTCGGCTAACTGGAACTCCAACAACTGTAATCTGCAGAACATAAGAGCAAAAACATCAAATTTACAGATCGAAGAACTCGAATTCGACCAATTTGAGGTCAAATTTGAATCTTTAAGCTTAAAGAAACCAACATATTCATGTTAACTGATCTAAACTCGATAAAATTCAAGAAAACTTCACTAGAAAAGGGATATCGATCGAAAAACATGAATTCCCGGAGAATCTATGGACAAGAAACACGTTCTCTTCGATACTTCAAGACGAAAAACGATCAAGAACTCGATTTCGTAACACATTTATGGATCAAAGAACTCAGATTTAACCTTTTTTCGGGTGAAATCAGAATCTTTAAGCTTACAGAAACCGAAACCTTCGAGTTTCACGAGCTAAAACTCGATAAAGATCGAAACTTTTTCATCAAAATTGCATGATTAGACATCAATTTATGAAGAAATGAAGAAAAAAGGAGGCCAAGATCAAGATTGATTCTTGAAGCTTTGGAAACCATGTTGTTGAAGTTGAAGTGATCTAAAAATGAGATTAAAAAATGGAAAAAAATCACAACTTTTTCATTAAAATAAAGAAAAGCTTGCATCATCCAACTTTAATTCATTCAAATAATTAAATAAATTATTAAAATAAATAAAGAAAAAAAGGGACCAAGATTTTAAAGAAATTGGGGAATCTTAAATAAGGAGAGACAAAGTATAATTACAATGCAAATGCAAATGCAAACCCCACATGTGTATTATGATCATCAAGTGCTAATTATATATATACATATATATATATATGTGTATATACACACACATATAGATACAGAAAAGTGTATCTATAATAGAAGTGTAAGGAGGATGAAAGTGAAGGGAAGAACTTTCCATGGCTAAGAAATGGCCAACCATTGAAGTCTATCATCAAGAAGGTTCTCATCTTTTTGATCATGAAAATGACATTTTTCCATTTTTCAAAAAGAAATTATAATAAAAGATTATTAAAAAAATTAAATATATTGGATAAATATTGAATATGTAGAATAAAAAAATGGATTTTTGTCAAAGACCTTCCAGCCTAGTGGTAAGACTTGGGCATGACATAGTCATGAACCCAAGTTCGAGCCCTGGGAGGAGAGTGTTGGCGACATTTAAGTGGGGCCATGTTTAGCCTCCAAATTTGCCGGGGATTAGTCGGGCTTTGGCCCGGACACCCTTTCCAAAAAAAAAAAAAAAAGGATTTTTTGGGTGTAAATTATATAAAAATAAAGAAATTGAAGAGAGACTTTGCTTTGAAGTGGGGGCTTACAAGAGGGTCTTTATCTACAAATATTCACAATTTTGAAATGTCACCAAACCATCAATTTTTTTATTTATTTATTAACCTGAATATCTAACCCGTTATACGAGTCGACTAATATCAGGATGACCTCCTGTTTTGCAAATAGCATTTGAACCTATGTAGCATTTTTATTTCTCCTTGGATTTGAACCTGAGACCTTCCGACTTGTTTTTCAAATAATTTAGAGTTCTTTCTTTTATTCCATTTTTTTAATTTATGGGTCAATAACTATAATTTCATCTATACCCATTTCAAACACCCATGGAATGAAAATTAAATTTTGAAGCAATTCTAAGAACAATGACGTCATCCTTTAGAACGTCCTACTGTACTGGTCTCTCGGTCATCATGAAGATAGAAAGTCGTGTGTCCCAAGGGAGGTGGGTGGTCCCCACTTATTTAGAGATGCGTACCTCCGTACCCGCTAGAACGTTAATACAAAGATCAAATTCATACCTCAATGTGATTCGTTTCTTGCAATCATTTGAAATGCTCAAAATCCTTTCAGGGTTATTGTATCTGAGAGAACAAACACAAAAACGGTTAATAACTTATCGCAATCGTGTCGGGATTTTGTACGAAACGGGTAATTAACGGTAAATTAGAAGCTAAAAGACTCGTAAATTTTGATAAACGAATATTTTTCTAGGGGTTATTTGAAGAAGAAGATCTTCAAGAACATACCTTTAAGAAAGATTCTTACTAAACTCACCTTCACTCCAAAAGATTTGAACTTTATGTAAAAAACAAAACTTTCCAAATTAGGAAAGCACAATCTAGGATTCAAACAAGTAGTTTCTAAGAAACTTGTGAAATACCTACCAAAGATTGTCGATGAATTCGAAGAAATGTACAAGGTTTAATGCATGAACTTGGAGTAATGTACAAGTTCTAATGCACGAATTCGGAGTGACGTTCAAGGTTTAATGCATGAATTCGGAGTAAAGTACAAGCGTTAATGCATTGCGGTAAGAATCAATATGGCTTTCGATATGAAAATCCGTTGCTTTATACAAAAGCAATACCAAGATTATGCTTCAAAAACACTGTTTTCTTACTTAATAGAGTAAAACCAAAGATTAAACCATAAAACTTTCTAAAGGTTTTACAAGTATTCACCAAAGATTTGATCTTTAAAACCCTAATTTCCAAAAATAGAAAGCACAACCAATGATTCAAAACAGTAAAGTTTTAGAAGTTTGACATTTTCCCACCATGGATTTGACCTTAATTTGACAATTTCCCAATATAGAAAGGATTGAACAATGAAATGTAACAAATTTGAGAAATATCCATCAAAGATTTGATCTTAGAAACCCTAATTCCCAAATTAAAGCACAAGAAGGTGGTAAATCTCAAGAACAATGTTGACCTTGAGACATACTGAAATACCCACCAAATATTTGATCTTAAAACACAATTTTCCCCAAAATAGAAAGCTTAAACAGCAAATTTCTTCAAAAAATTGATAAAAACCCACCAAAAATTTGACCCTAAAACACCATTTTCTCCAAAATTATATAAACCTGGGGAACATTTCAATAACACCCACCAAAGATTTGATCCTAAAACACAATTTTCCCCTAAATTAGACACCAAATTTCTCAAGAATTTAACAAAAACCCACCAAAGATTTGATCCCAAAACACCCATTTTTCCAAATTACACAAACCTGAGGAACATTTACAGAACACCCACCAAAGATTTGATCTTAAAAACACTGGTTTAAACTATGAAATGCTGAAGAACCAGAAGACTCAACAGCAATCCGAAAATGGCAGTAAACGAAAACGATAAAATCAGAAAAAAACCCATCAAGAATCTTGAGATTATACGCTAAAATCTGTAAAAAAATGATGGAAAATTAGAGAATTTACCAGCCATGAAGATGATCGAGCTCGAAATGGATGCCAATGGAATGAAGCAAAGAGAAGAACAATTTGTATTCAAAAATAAAAAAAACGCTTCTTTCTTCTGCTTCGAATTTCACTCTAATGTCAGACGCAAGCTCCAAGATTCACTTTATGAAACGAGTGTGCAGAGTAATCAGAGGTAAAAAGGAAAAACTAGATTTCAACAGTAAATGTACAAGGAATAATGCATAATGTACAAGTTATTAATGCGTGATTGGTGTGGTTTTAGTAGTTATTGGTGTGGACGAAGTAAGAGTTTTAAATATATACCATAAATAAACGATGGTCGATAGCAGAGAACCTTCAACTTTTATGTATTGTCGAGTTTAGTCCTTGGTGATTTATAAATTTTTGGATATTGTCAATTTTAGTCCTTCGATTTGTATAAATAAATAAATACGTAATGAAGTATTTGACTTTATGAAGTCTTTAAATTATTATTTTTTGAACAAATAAATACTTGATTTTCGGAAATCGAACAAACAAATTCTTACACTTAGGGGCTATTTATCTGGATAAAGAGTTGTTTGTTTACCTTTTAATAGTTCCATTAAGAAAAAAAATCTGAATCATTAAGAGGTGAATCTTGTTTGGCAAAAAAAAAAGAGTCTGTCTCTTAATGGTTTTAAAACCCTATGAATGATTTTGTATCATGAGCCTCCCTTAACCTTAAATTAAGTGCCATGATTTTGTATTAAACAATTATATTTCATTTTGCGCTATATCATGAAAGCCTCTTAATCATTCTCACCACTTAATCATTCTACACCAAACCATTCAGCAATTGCCAAATAACCCCTAAGTGTTTACCAAATCACATTACCTTACCGGATTAATATGATAAGAATCAAGAATCTTACCCGGTTAAAGCGAGACAAGGACCATGAGTCTTACCCGATAAGTGAGGACGACGACTCTTACCACAGTAAGCGCTTACCGGGTAAATTGTTGTATCCGATTTCGTTTTGGTGGACTAAAATCTTACCAGGTAAGTAAATAATAGTGTTAAATTTTACCAGTAAGCACTTACCGGGTAAGTGTTTGGGAAACAATCCCTTACTAAAACCTAGAAAAAACCAATGAGCTTTTATATTTTGAGCGGTTAGCTCCATGAACATTTTTTGAACAATCAATCATTAGATTTATAAAACGAAATCAGTATCTTATTTCCTAATTGATGTATCTAGATCAGTAACAAACACCTGTGATTGTCATTTAAATCTTAAAAACAAATTAAAAATGATGTATTTTTTCTCGTTTTATCTGTTTGTAATATTTTTTATACTGATTTGATGATAATGGAAAAAGAAAAGGTAAATTTCTTTCGTTTATATTCGTTTTAAAAAATATTCAGAGACTTGATTGCTCAAAATATGAAAGTTCATTGGATTTTTTTTTGTTTTAATAAGTTTAAGGATTTGTTTATTCGCTTTAGTAAATGATTTATTTCTTTAGAACAATAGCTTAGAGGTTATTTGTTTACCTCTTAATAGTTCCATTAAGAGGCAACATTTGAATTACTAAGAGATGAATCTTGTTTGGCAAAAAAAAAAAATTTGTCTCTTAATGATTCTAAACTCCTCTGAATAATTTTGTATCATGTTCATTTCTTAACCATTCAGCACCATATTTTCATTGTAAACAATTACCAAACAATTATATTTCATTTTGCAATATATCATGAGAGTCTTTTAATCATTCTAACCACTTAATCATTCTGCACCAAATCATTTAACAACTGTCAAACAGGCCCTTAGAAACTTAATAACTCGAAATGTGATAGTTTCTTGGGGTTTTTTTTTTTCAAACTTTTCCCTATAATATTCGATGATTTTTGCGTAAAAAGTTTGAGGGAATTTTGTGACAAGTTGTGAAAAGTTGAGGGGGTATAGTTGATAAATGGATGATCGTAGGGTGGGTAATGAAGGAGGAATGGTAGATCAGACCGTTGGAATTGGTTGAAATTTCAAAACGTAAGACTTTTCAAAATTTATCCATGTGGCATTACCAATGTGCCAGCATGGCAATGTGGGGGCCCACTTAAAAATCTTATTACAATAATTAATATTATATTATAATATAATATAATATAATAATTTGGAATAATTTGCATTTAATTTTGATATAATCATGATTTTTTTCTTTTTGCACCAATTATTAATTATTATTATTCTACTTTTTTTGGGTTACTTTTTTATAATCATTAAAAATTGTGTTAGAGCATTTCCAAATATATGGTGAGGTATTATGCACTAATTAATAATGCAAATTGTATGAAAA